TTGAGCTACAGTCCTTGCTAAATCCTCAACATTTCCTCCTACCAACTGTTATCACCTTCTTATTATGAACGAGTGTAATCCAGACGGATCTTCTTCAGATCCTTTTATCTGCCAAAAATTCTATACACCACCACAGCGCAATATTTCCCATTGCAGATTTCACCACTGCTGCCTCAGCTCTACAGCACGCTTGACAGACAGAGGTGGAACATTTAAAAAAAAAACAAAACCAAAACAAGAAGGCCACTTTTCTCCACGGCTCACCAAATAAAGAGCATAACTGATGAAGAGACCTTTGTCAAGTGACGAATAACTTTGTTTAAAATTTAGGGGCTGTTTGGAAATGAGTCAAATTCTTAAGATGTTCACACATCTGCCCAAAGTACAATTATGAATCTTGGCCAAAGAACATGGTTTACTTATGCCATGTAATCTTCAACCAACAGCATACCTTGGGTTTCAGTATGGTAACGAAGAGGCTACTCCACTGAAAGAAAAAGTCATGGGCTCTCTACCAAGTAACAGCCATCACATAAATTGCTTGTTCAGGGTACAGTGGTCAAAACACAGGCTAAAAATTGATCAAAACTGCACAAACATTTCTATTAGGCTGTTACAAGGCATAAATAGCCACAATGGCTACTGTTTGTCCAGAGACTATTCAACTTCTGGCTCTATTATTAACTCTAAAGACCGACATTTCTTTCACGTTGCTAAACAGTTTGATTATTTCTCATGCCAGTGCCCCCCTTTTCCTTTGCTCTTTCAGAGACCGTATTGCTCATCCCTTTATTAAGTAATTTATAGTAGACTACTTTAGCATAATACTCCAGGTTTTAATATACCCCCGTCCAACACTTACCTGGACCTCCCCAGACTTTGCGGCTCACATTGCCTAACATGTCCCACAGTCAGACCACATTCTGTTTTGCTGAACACTGTTTTTTAAAAAAAAAATAAAAAAAAATCTTTGATAGCCAGGTACTTCCCTAACATTTTTTCTTTTCCTCGAAAAACTGTCCTACTTCATGTTTCTGCTACTGGTGCTATCATTTATTCACCAGGAAAACCTACAGAAGCTGCTGATAAAAGTTTTAGAAGACATATGGTAGCCCTTCAAATGACACCTTGACTACAAACAGCAGTTAGACTTGTTTTTATAATGAGTTTTGTAGCTCCTTTTATTAGGTCTTTTCTCATCCATATGGTTCAGAGAAAATTTTTCATCTGCTTTTACAGCTGTAAGGCTGCAAAGGCTGTGCATTCCTTTATTAACACTGTCAGGTTACAGGCAACTGCTGGCCACTAGGCGTAAGGCAGATCTGTTCCTTAGGGGAATGAGAACTACTCAAATGTATTTGCCCAGGTAGCTGCAGTGAGCACTTACAAAATCTGGATATCTACATCCCCAAAAGAATGTTAAAAATATGAAAAAGTACATAGAAGATTTTTTTTTCCTTCATTAGAAAGGAGGATGACAGATTCCATGTTGCAATATCAAGGGACTGTGGTAACTGAAGGCAGTTTTAGCTCAAATGTGGTGCATTAGCAGAAGTAACGTTGCAAGTTTATTAATTACAAGTAAGAACTTTACTGGACCATAACCATAAACGATAACCTGGACCGATTTCAGCAACTTGACCTTGGAACTAAACCAGGATTCTTGCATTACCACAATCCTCTACCTGTAGCATATGGATACTCTTCCTAGCACTGCTTTCTGAATACAGCAATGTACCTAATCAAAGAAAATTCTACTTGTAGAACGGCTTTGGGAGGAGAAATGTTGACTAATCATCACCACCTCTGTTCTTCCTAGTTTTCAGATAAAAGAGTACTATTTTTTTTCCCAAGACAGCATTACTAATACTTAAAATACACAATGAAGAAAAGCTCATAGCACATTCAGATTGACAAGTCTAGCCTGCCACGCTAGTCAGTTTTAAACTCTAAGAAAAATACTACGCTTTGCTCTTGAGTTTGTGTCCAGTCATAATCAGCAATGAGGACAAATATTTACAGCATAATCACTTTCCTGTCATTCTGTTATGTTTTATTTTATCACTTGTATCTACTCAGGTAGTATATAACACAGTAAATTTTACGCAAGGTCAGTGAGGACAAAGCACAGATTTCACAATGATTAGTGACTCCGCTATCTACTACCAAGGTTTACAAGCAGCCTAAGCCTGCGTGAAGTGTACTGTGACAGTTCAATACAAAAATAATAATGTATGAAGTAGCTCCACTGGAAGCAGGAGTCTTCTAGGAAAATCTGCTAATGACACTGCACTGTTGCACTGGTGAATGAGGCTACAAAATGCTTCACTTAGAGTTCTAAGCAGTGACTCTGAGGCAAAAAAGATTTGCAAAAAAATAAACTCAAGAAGTCTCTAAAAAACTTTACTAAAAAAATTAAACATGCTGTTGTTTTGATGCTCCATAAATACTGTGGTGGTCCAGACAGAGTGAAATTACTAACACTAACATCAATTTGTCTAAAGTCAGCATTAAAACATTCAAGCTCACAAAAGAGAGGACCAATAATCCTAATGTTCGCTTTCTGCAATCACTTCACACCATTACAGTTGTGTAGACTCTTACAAAGAAAACAATGGAAGTACCATGTGTATTTATATACATATGTATTTCAGCTCCAGTAAAATGTCAGACTGTTGGGTAACAAAATGCCTTTTCTACAGCAACTTTCAGATTATCTGAATTGTTGTAGCACAATAAAAAAAGATGCTGTTGAAATATCACAGACAAAACCAACACTGTAGCTGGTATTGTAATCACAATGTTTACTCACCTAGCTTATTTTATGAACAATTTCTTCCTAGGGAGAAGATATTTATATTATGATTTTACTGGAATCATATGGCTTCCAGAGTTTGCTACTGTCAGGAAAGTGCTATGAAGACAGAAGTAGAAACAAGTTTTTCATTTTCATTTGGCTGCCTCTGCTCAGATGAATTTCTGCTGATTGCTTCGAATGGATGAGTAGTAGGCACTTTCATGCAAGGATTAGCTTCAAGTTCTATTCCACCCACTGGTACTGTCCACCCTGGAGATATCTGAACAGTAACATTATCCAAACAGGCACCAGAACATCACAGTAATCAAACCTTAAGAAACTGTTTCCTAAAGGTTTTTCTGTTGTTGATGTTTAATATAGTTGCTTCAGGTATTTTAAACTTAGCGTACCAAGGGTCAAAGGTAAAAAACTGAAGCTCTAATAAGACAAATAGTGTTCCTTGCCACAGAGCAAGCCTTGGGAAGCAAAAAGCTATGTAAACACTGCAAACTGAAAACTCGCTACCAAGTTCTTTAAACATTGCTCATGAGTACTAAAATTGTGAATCTAGCAAACTCCAAGAATAACAAACAAAATTCAATTCACCCTAAGAGCTGATAAGTGATGTTTCCTAGCCAGATAAGAACAATGACCCTTTGCCTATAAATGTATATGCAACAACAGGAATATGCTTCTTCCAATTATCTGCAAATCTACTGAAATAACAGCATCAAGTCTCTCTTTTGTCCAGTTACAGAAAAAAAATACAGGGGGATTTTTTTCATTTTATATATAGCCCAGAAACTGTAACAATGCTGTACTAGCTCACTTCCCACCAAAGCAGATCTTCCAATAAAGGTTTTGGGTTGTATGCCTTGTGGTAGCAACATGGCTAACTTTATTAGTAGTCTGCAGGTACTGTACCTCTTCAGTTACTTGGTTCTAATCTGCCTTCAGTCTATCCAAGACAAGAGAGACGGGGCGGGGGGGAAGGTACCACAAGGTAGGCAGTAGTAAACCACACATGCAAAGGGCTGTTGTAAATGCCTATAATGATATTTTTAGTACGTGGCAAGAGAGACAGAAAGGTCTGTCTCACCAAGGGATAATATGCCTTCAGCATCCTGGTACAGACAAGTGCAGTTAGGACAGAGCAGCTGAGACAGCAGCTCTGCTGGTATACTGTAATCAGGCAATCACGTGTACATCCGCTCTCCCAGACTTCCTCTCAGTGGCATTACCCTACCAAGGCAGCATCTGCCTCCCTGTTTTGACAAATTTAAGAGGATAATACCCTCGCAACAGAAATATTTATTTTTACAGGAAACAGCTATCAACCTGTTCACCAAGTTGCCCTAACTCTTCTGCTCTGCTCCCTTTTTGGACTGCAAAGATCATCAGCAGGGCAGACTCTGACGTTCCTGTGGGTCAGGACAGCCAGTATCTGTTTAGACTTGTTGCCAAAGCAAAATGCAGGGCAATAGACCAGACAGTATGAACAACCAGATTTATTCAGTGTACCAACCACATCCACAGCTGGGAACACTAAAGGAACCAAGACACACAGGTGAAGAGGCCAGCAAGGCATTCTACCACCACAGGATGACTCAAATGCTTTGAGAAGTTGCAAGGGTAGCAAACAGTCTGAAAACAAAATTAATGACTTCAAAATACATTTAAAAACATATATTTATTTAAGCTGAAGGTATCAGGTAGGTCATCTCTGTGTGTCAAATAATAGCTATTAAGAAGAGTAGGGAAGGACATTTTAAAATCACAACCAGGAAGAAATACAACAAATATTTTCTTTCAGTTTGTAACCAATAAAGTGCATATGGTAGAAATGCAGAGCAGATTCATACCAACCCAAGTAATTCGGCTTACAGAGAAAACGTCTGCCCAGTTTGATCCTTCTCAAGTGCAACCATTTAAAGTATGAAACATCTACAATGAACAGGGTAGACTATACCCCTTTGGTAGAGAATTTTATTTTCTTCAATGTTTTCAAGTTACCATAGAAGAAGGTCTTCCTCTGAGCTTGTAAAAGACCACCAGACTTAAGATTGTCATTGATACATGCTAGACTCTAAATTTTGTTGTCTTAAGACATTCCAAATATCTAACACTGAAAAATCATGTTATGGCCAAGAGAAAAATACAGATTAAACAGCCCATAAATACTTTCAACAATTGCCATACTCACCTGCTACATTAAGCTTTTCGACTGCTCCTAAGCTGGGAGCAGGAGTGGTAGTATTGTTGGTAGAGTTTGCTCCTGTTCCATTCAGTACAAGATTTTCCACCTTGGACTCTAGCTTCCCAATGCGCTGCAAGATATTATCCAACAAGACAGCAAGTGTCTTCTTCAAATCTACAAAAGAAAAATGAAAAGTTAAACTGCTTAATGATGCAATGCACACTGTTAGACACAATCAAAAAACAGACACAAGAATGAGACTGGAATATATACAGACACTTTCTCAGTCCAAATCTTTGTCATTAGCAGTGTCTATGCACTAACGTCCCCTACTTTGTTCAGCCTCAGACACAAGTTTCCCTGGACATGGAACTTGTCGTCCTATGTATTTGATACAGCACACTGCAACTCATATGCGTATCCTATATTCAAGGTGAAGTGAGCACTTTTGTGGGTACACACATGGGAACAAAATATGCATGCTTTGTAACAGCTCAAGTAATGAGACGTTGCTTAAGTAATAATGAATCTAAATCTAAAACCATATTCAAGCACTATTAGAGGAATGGGTCTGTTAGACGCTCAGTCACCTGGAAATAAAAAGCCCCTTCCCAAAAGAAGGGACAGCTTTGAGCCAGTACAGAATCTTCTCCTTCACCTCCTCCACCACAACCAGGTTCTGCACTGGCAAAAAACTGTTCAGTTCAGCCTTTCTGTCATGTACACAAAACACCATAGATCCCCTGTTTCTTTTCTGCAGTCTGCTCGTGATGGCCTCTACCTATCTCTTTGGTCTGACACAGCACTTCCCGCGTGTGGAAAGCAACAAACTGTTATAGGAGTGTGCATATCAAATGACAACCCACAAAGAGTTCTCTGATGTTTTTTGTTTCCCTTTTCTTTTGTTCAGACTTCTTGAAGTAACACAGACAGTTGGGCAAGCTAAAAGAACTGCGGGCAAGAGAGGAAAAATAGACCACTATCAGACTAAACTGTATAATTATAGTGGCAACAAGCCAAAGAAGGTGAAAGAAAGTATTGTTCTTTGTTCATTTACCCTTGTCTCAGGATTAAAGCATTTGGTATGATGAACTTACACTACTTTCCCATTTAATTACATAAAATAATTACATGTGTATGTGTATAATACATTTTCTGCCTTCCACAACTTTAGAATCAAATATCTTTCTGATCTGTAATAGAAACTTTCTCCATACAACTAATGAAAATCCTCTGCTACATCAATTGTATTTCTGCCACACTTATTTTGTGCTCCCTTTTCCCCCCTCCATGACCAGTCCAATTCTTCTGCAAATGAGAGAGAAATAAGAAAACACTATTACTTTTAGAAAGCTTATGATTCTTTTTTTCCAAATATAAGATAAAATATAATTTAATCCAAATAAAATATTTCCAAATATATGGAGCTGTAAAGTAGATCTTTTGCTTTATAACTGTGTGTTTTCCTTTGTCCTTTAAATATCAGAGGATGGAATCTAAAGCACTAATGATCTGAGGCAATTAAGGAAGAAAAAAAACTATGGAAAAAGGCAGAAAAAAAAAATAATCAGGAAACAATGACAAAGATACCTAGCATACACTAATGCATACACTGATCATAAGGAGAAAAATGGCTAAACTTTGTAATTTTTTACTACTGATACCAAAACACTGCTATGAGAGACTGTTTACCAGAACAAAAAAGCAATTGGAGGCTAGTTTAAGACGGAAAAGGTAGAAGGCACAGATTCACAATAACTTTCTAAAACAACTGTTTATTGCTTTAAAAAAAAAATCTAACATTCACTGTGTATACAGTAATACTGGACTACAACTTTTAAAAGGAAAAGTGTTTGATCCACCTGCCTGACAGGTCAATATGTGGCAGAAGGAAAAAGTGAGAAAGCAAACAAGCTTGTAATCACAGTTAAGGAACGACTGAAAAACTTTTGGGTGGGTAAAAGCAGCCAAATCAAGCAAACTGAAAACTTATTATTGAACATGGAAACCATGACTGTGCTTGCTAATAGCAGTCAGAGGATAAGTTTAAAAGAAATAAAAAGGCTAAATAGCAAGGGCGTTAATTTTCTTAGAACAGTGAACTAACTTCTAACCATTATCGTTAATATTAGTCATATTGTGTTTATTCCTAAACAGCTAACACGATCATTTACTATCAAGAAATCATTTGATATGCCAAACAGGACAAACTAACTTACTTAAGTAATTATCTTACTCAGTTTCATAAAGAAATCATTTAATATGGTGTTATTCACTCACCGTATCACCTTTCCCTCTAGCATTTTAAATAAATATATTACCATTATTTTGCATCCTTCCAAACTCCTTAATTGAAAACACCTGTCCAAACTCGTCATCAAACTTAAAATTCTTCTTAGCCACAGAACTTGAAATTTCTGCACAAAACTTAACTTTGTAACTCTTCTGTGAAGGTAAAGCTATTTCACCCACTTTCACATACAGTTTAACTTCTCCCGGGAACATAATCACTGTCTGGCAGCAAGTCAACTTATTCCTTAGCAGGATTTGGCACAGGAAACGAATGCCCCAGGCAACAAGCTGCAGGGGGAACTTAGCTTAAGGATATCCTGTACCCTCAGACCTGGCTAGGGCACAGACTAATGCAGTTACCCTTCAGTTTCTGGAGACATATTGTTCGGGTTTTTTTGTTGCTTTTTTTCTTTTTCAATTCACCTGCCATCAAGCACCCTTTCAAGACAACAGGACACTGATGATGGCAACGTAGCAGACAGTTTTGTTTTAAGCCTAGGCACACAATTGTCTAGGAATCTCTACTGGTGTGGAGGTCTTCAATCTAAATATTGATAGTACCACTCTATTTAGCTTGTGTTGCTTTGTACAATTACAACACCAGTATAGTTCAACATGCAGTCACAAATCAGTAGAAGTCATAAAATAATGACAGCTTGTTAATCAACAAAGCAATATAATTATTAACTATGTTTGGGATGACAATCTCAGGTTTACAGGCAATCACCTTCACACAAAGTCAAAAATCGTTTTTTTAGAGGAAAAAAGTGGTAACAGAAACATGGAGAGAACGTCCCAGCAGGATATTTTCCTTACATGCACCAAAAAATAAAGAGTATTAATAGAAAACTAAAGAAAAAGGTGCAGCTATTATCTGTCGCATCCTCGTCTTTATGCTTTGTCTAAGCCTACTAAAAACATCTATCCAATTCCTTCAGAGCTGAATATTAAGGCAGCTATAAAAAGAAACAAATTTAGATGACTGATTAGCCATTAACTTTACAGATAGCCTGAAAGTGCATAGGTAAGTAGGAAAGAAAATTAGTTTAAAAAATGCTGAACAAGTAATGTATATGATGTGATCTCATCAGATTGAAAAGGTGCCACGCCTAACCTGAAACTGGATTACATTTTTATTTTCATAATATTTCCTAGTAATATGCTTCATTCTTTTCTGCATGCTTTGTCTCACACTTGCACACAAACTTAACTTTCACATTCTACAAAGTGGCAGAGAAATGGGTTCTCTACCTTGAGGCAAATATGATATTTTTAAGCTTATGCCAGATAAATGAACTTAAAAGTGAAGTAAATTGACTGAACAAAGAAGCAAAATGGGAAAGAAGAAATAAACGTATCAGGTCCCCACTTTATCAGTAAGGCAAGCTCTTCTTCCACAAGGAATTTCTTAGCTCACCGACACACACAAGCTGAAAAGCCTCTCAAGTTTCTCAAAAACTGCAAAAAAGTTTTTTTTAAATGAAGTTTTAACAAATAATCTGAGGCATACTAGATATAGCTACTAGACAGATGGAGTAAAAATTAGCACACAAGTTCATTTCCACGTTACTGGAAATGTAAAATTTGTCCCGTTTCATACTTACAAGTGAAGACTGCTTTCTCCACCTGTCCAGAAAATCCACAGTACAAAGTATAGTCAAATGAGCAGCATTGTGAAGTAAAATGTTCAGACAATTTAGTAAAAACCTTGATGAGATTAACAGGTAATCTAGAGCACACACTTACCATATGCTGTCACCGTCCCAACATAAGGCCCATCAACCACATTTTTATTTTCTTCGGCTAATGCTTTGATGTATCTTTTGCTGAGATCCAAAATTTGCTCACGCAGGACTGAACTGCTTTCATGTTGTGTTTGCTGCTGAATAGTGAAATGCAGAAGCATCATTCCCCAAATGAAACCAAAAGTCACCAGAAAAAAGCCGAGCTTCTGAGAGGACAGCTTCCATGGAGAGAATGCCATGATTCCCAACCGCTTGACACAGTTACTACAAAGGTTCCTAAAGCATGAAGCCAAACAGCACATTCATGGTCCAGGTATACAAATATAACAGAGCAGGACTCAGTCTTATTCCAACTCCTTAGTCAACGTATATCCGTGTTTCAGTTCCATCCTGTTGCAAGAGGAAAGAAAGGAAGCACAGCTGTCACAACACATTAGAAGTTTTTACTAGCTATACTAGGTCTTCACTCTAACTGGTACAAAACAGGAGCAGACAATACCCTTTCTTTGTAAATGTTTAATTTGTATCTATCAACATTGGACTGTACTAGCCAGAGCACAAAGAAGCTGAGAAAAGCACTGGAAAGAGAACAAAGAGGGAGCGATGCGCCTGAGCAGGTGCAGAACACCTCTCGGTATCTGGATCAAATTCAACGCTTGCAGCGGTTTCTGAGCTGAATTTCAAGGTAAGGCTGCTTTTACATATACTTCTTGTGTGTGTACACAAAACTTCGTGATGTTGCCAGTGCAGCAGTTTAAGACAATTCTCAACATAATTCAGTTCTCAGAAAACAAGTAATTTCAGCTGGCAGTGACACTGCTCAGAGCTCCTGGCAAGAGCTACGGCATATGGCTAGATAGGTGATCAGGAAATCAGACTCCCTCAGGGGTAAAGAGGAAAAAAGAAATCTACATTATTTAAACCAATACACTCTCCTGGCTTACGCTGCAAGCAGTCAGAAGGCTGGAATAATCTTCTCTTGCTCCTGTGTGGCCTCTGCCATGCACATTTACTCCTTATTCATAAAACATACTCCAATGAGTTTGCTATTTGCAACTAAATTCAAAACACATACTTCCAAATGCTACAACATGTCTTTTGTACATAAAATTAATATTCTCGGAGCTTTTCACACACTAGGGAAAATGTAATAATGGCCTTCAAGACACAGCAGGACCATCTTTTCATGGTAAAATCAAAGATAAAACCTGGCATAAACAATCCAAAAGGCAAGAAAAGCTCTGTGATGAAGGCTAGAGGCAGGGTCCTTCACATAAAACCCAACAAGAAGAAAGGTAATTAATAGTAACCTATCACATTAAAACACAGATTTGGTAAAATGTTATCCTTTTAACTTCATAATGCTGCCAGACAGGATTAGAGAACATAATGTTCCCTTCCATTCTGCACTTGCACAGCTAATGCAGATGTTACTCTGTTTTAATAGGATAATTACACAGATGCCTGCTAGCAGCGCTGTTTGCTAAAATTCCCTTTAGATCTTCTGCTTTCAGTTGAACCAGCAGTTCTGCAGAAGGACAGAAATACCTTCGGACCACCAAGTGTGCATTTAGCATTATTGATCATTATCACTGCAGAACTGAATGTGCATTACATTGTAAACTAACAGCAGACAAGGCAGCAACTGTACCATGCATTTACGTCGCTAAAAGAACTACTTGTAGCCATCTTGCTTGAGGAGGAATAGTGCAGAAAAATGAACTGCAAGTACAGTGAAAAAGATTATAAAGCCCTCAAGGTGACTTTTTCCACACTTAAAATATCTCAGTAAAGAAAATGAATGGTCTTAATAAAGAAAATTAAGGACTCTGATGGTGCTCTCCATAAACTTAAGTTAATTTTCCAAGAAATGGCAGAGGGAAGTTTTACTTCTTTCAGTTTAACTACAGCCTTGGGACACTCTTGGGCTGACTAAGAAGTAGAGCATTGTTATTTCATTAAAAACCAAATGTTTTACTATTCTCTTGCAATATCTGGTATGATAAAATATAGAAAATTCCACAGTTTAAAACAACATTACAACTTTAAAAAGAAGTCTGAAATAGTCAAGGTCATTTCCCTCAGTGACTTAATTTCAAGTGAGAATTGACAGTGTCCTCTACAGCAATCATATCTGTGGTTATAACAGTCAATATTTCTTCCCCAGTTCTCAGTTGTTTGTGAAGTGGAAAACATTGAATAAGAAAGTAAACCTATCACCACCATGCTTTAACAGACAAGTGCTAACGATTTTTTTATGACTAGCTGTTTAGGAAAAAAACTTGCAGAACATAATTAACATTAAAAACAGCAATAAAAAAAATGCAAGTATTTCACAGTCATCTTTTTAAAGTTCGAGAACAGAAACAAGGATGACTACAAAAACCATGTATATCTAACCTATGAGAATGATCTACTTAAATACAGCTGTTGACTCTTCTGCTTATCAATGGAAAAAAGGCCTTAAATCCACTCAAAAACTGTAAGAAGGTACACAGGAAATATTGAATCCTTGCCATAAGAAAGGATTAAAATTAACTGACAGATGGAAGAATAGCTCCCACCATTTGAAGTGCTAAAAGCAAAAAATAAACCTAAAAACCCCAAACACCACAAACCAGCCCTCCATTTTTACTGCCATTTAAGCAATTCCAGTGGCTAGTAACTTGATGAATGCCCAACAACATGTGCTTAACTAATTAACTTTACAGCACCGCTGGTCGCCAAGGAGGTTTGCAAAGTGCACAGGAGAAGATTTTCTGTGGTTCCCACCGCTTCCATGGCCGGGTGCACACCCGCACTGACTTTGGTATATGTTTAATCCTAGATTTGACAGATGTCAAGGACTGCAACAAAACTATTTCATGGTTAACGATTACCATGTATCTATAATATACACTAGAAGATATCAAGGGGTTATGTGGAATGCATGAAGACAGCAGCACAGAAACATCTCTGTGGTATTTCTGTTTTGACAGGAAATTAATAACTGAAGTGAGCAACAGTTGAAGCAATAAACACACATTTGTCTACTGTAATCACTCATGGACTTTGATAGTGCCTGCTGACTAGTTATCTCTCTGCTCATACCAAGTAAGCCATTCCCAAACTTAAAGTGGTAGAATATTTCCCTTATTCTCCTCCTTGCACTATAAATGTTCTCAAAGGAGCTGATCCTATTAACTACAAGCTCTTTTCCCAGCCTGGTCTCCAAAATGCACAATGGGACTCACAGCTAAAGAGGATACGGAAACACATATTTGTCCATGCCTCTAAAGAACAAGAAACTTTTTTTTTTTTTGATTTGGAAAGAGGTGGTCTCACTCTAAGACAACTCTTGAAATAATTCCAGCACCCCTCTGGAAACTGGATATGTCATAGTTGTGAAGTTATTTGTGAAACTGTTAGGAAGACAATTCCTCCTGATTTACTGAGAGTAGCTAATGTACCAAAACTAAGCACAAGTGTGAAAAACAGGGTGAAAGTGAAAAGATATACAAGGCAAGAAAACCTTTAATAAAGAACAGCTTTGTTAATGTTCTTCCTTAAGTGCAACTCTAACCAGCCAAAATCTCACTGCAACTGAACCAACACACTGGTGGTACGGTGCCTTTTTTTTTTTTTCACAGACCGCTTACACCCTGGTTGATAAACATACCACAATTTAAAACTGAACTACCTCTACCCTTAACAAAACTGAGTAGTGTATTTCTTTGAAAAAGGGCTTAGCCCTACACCCATTTCCACAGGCATAAGACTTACAATAGTCTTAGCACTTTCAGTATTTCAAACAGATTCATTAAAAACACTTTTTTTTTTCTGTTCTGTATTTAATAAAATCCTACTCAACAACTGGTCAGTTCACTAGTTACAGAGGATAACATTACCATGCCTATGCCATCACAACAAAAAACCCCCTCATACTATTTAGAATCATATCAGGAAAGTATCCCAATGCTAAATTGATCCATACATCAGGGATGCAAAACACACAGTTCTCAGCATTTTAAGCCTTTATTTTTTTTAAACGCATAAAATAGAATACAGTTAATCTTCATGCGAACAGATTTTGTTGACACATATCTTCGTATTCCTCTTCGCTTTTTAAAAAGAAGAATTAATCATCTACAAGAGATGAAGCAAAGACTCTTTGTAAGTATGCACATATGCAAAGCTTGCTGTCTGTCCAGCCGTCCCTATATAAGAAACAGTACTTCCTCAGGGTACAGCTGGAGCAGCGCTATCCTCCTCAGGACAGTCAGGATTCGACTGCTCATCAGCTGAATGCATGGTTCATCACTAGCTCCACAATTACAAAACCTTAACTGTCTCCAGCCAAAGCAGAAGCTGTTGCACCCACAAAAATACCAGCAGATTGAGTAGTACTTAATTATTAGCTTGCTATGAACTCAAACACAAGCAAACTTATACAGTATGACTAGTAAACAATATATATGCATTTTTGAACCAAGTGGTTCAATAAAGACAGTAGTGCCGCTGCTAGGAATAGGCCTCTGGCCTTACACCAGCTGCGTTCCTACGCCAAATGTGCAAGGCCCAAATTCTGGCCTCTTCTGCCTGTGACATTATTAGGGGAACTTGTTGTGTTAGCTAGAGCTGGGTACCAGGTGCCTCTTGTTACGGCATACAGCTTAGATATGAGGTAAGAACAAGGGTACACATTGGAAGCAGAGGCCCCAGAACTGTAAGCAACGCAAGTGATGGTCAATTAGTAGTCACTGATAAAGTGCAACCTTGAGATTTGTGGGAAAAAAAAAGAACAGCTTTTCTTTCAATAGCAGCAATAGCTGAAAAGAAGCAACAAAACTGCTAAACAACAAGAAAATGTACCTGTGACAGCCTTGAACAGCTTGCAGTCAAGGACCATAGCTATCGGTGCTAAATACACAGTACCAGCTCTGTGGTACTGTGAGCTCACAATTAATTTAAAATGAGATTGTTACAGACAAATTGCTTTGAATATGCAGTGGTAACGGCTAGGAATGAGTAAGAACTAGCCATTAGCAATGTGTATCGTTAATGAGTATCAGCCTAGTGAAGTTCTGTTATAAAGTTTAAAGCTGGTTTAAAACTGTTTTTATCAGCCTTCTAAACCTTCAGTCACAGCCATTTCTCATTCTCTTCTTACATATATCCATACACAAACAATGTGTATTCAGTTGAAACATCATGCCACCATGCCCGACCCCACATAATTTATTATTGTATCACAACCAGC